AAATTCTTGATAAAAAAGGAATTCATTATTCTGACTGAAACTTTGGGCCTGACAAAATTGTTAACAAGGTTCAAAAAATAAGCAAGAGTATCAGAGGGCGTTATTATTATCCCAATTTCAGTTCGATAGAACCAAAAAGGGATTGAAAACCATCTACCCGACGTGAGTCCGATTATAAAAAAGATTAAATTTTGTATTGTATGTTTTCCCGGGGAAACCCTAAATTACGGGAAAGGTATTTTTAATGAAAATATGAAAACATTTTAAACTTGATTTTATGTATTTTACATTTGTAATAAAATATACTAAATGGTGACTTAATGAGAGAATTGATGACGATGAATAAATAGGAAAAAACCCTGATAATAAAACAATAATGATGATGATGATGATGATGTGATGATAACGTGATATGAGACAAAAAGGGGAAGAATGACATAAAAATGTTACGCATGTTGAAATGGGTTTAATAAGTTACATATTTGTTTAAAAATTTTTGTAAAAATAATGAAAAACAAAATGGGTAATTACATAAATTAAAAAGGGGAATAAAATATTTTTCGGAAAAGAAGGGGTAATTTAAACCACATACCAAGGTTTGGGTTCAAAAACCTAAATAGGGGAAGCAATTTTTCAAATTTGAAACTAACCCCATGACAGTAGCCATGATCCAACGGGAGGGGGGGACTTTGGGGGTTTTTACTTTCTGTTCCATGCCGTATGGACTTAATTTTTAAAAGGAGCCCAGAATTGTTTTTTGTTTTAACAGACTGGGGGGATGGCAGGGGGTTAATACCAGAGCCTTTTTGGCTCCCGCATTTGGAAAGAGTCCCTAAAGGGTTTGTTTCCTTTTAACCACGGGTACTTTTGGTATTTTAAAACTGGAAATGGACAAAGGGAAAAATGTAAAACCTATCAAAAGGAAGAAAACCTTTAAAAAACCAAAAATATTATTTAACCCAATCATTCTTAAAGTACCCCAAAACCCTTTTAAAAATTAAAACCTAAAAAAAGTAAAAAAAAAAAAATTTAAGGTTTAAATTTTTTTTTACTAGAAGGGGAGGGGGAGATTGAAAATGGGGAAATTCCCCGGGGGAAACCCAAGATTTCCCCGAGGGGGAAAAAAGGCGGGGGCCCCTAGAGAAGAGAAAAGGGGAGAAGTGATCTCGTGTGTCTCATGGTAAACAGTGAAGACACAAGAAAAGCATGGCTGAAGGGAAAGACGTAAACCGGAATGAATAAGACAGTTGAATTTCTGCCCTGATGAAGAGACGCGTGAATAAGCCTAAAGAATAATGTTTTGGAATAAACTTTTATATTTAAATGGGGGACGAATGTTTTTCATACGTCGAATGTAAATATCAGAGTCCAGAAGTATAGAGGGAGGGTTCGAGAGACGCGATAAATTTCCCGAGTGTGTGGAAGTCCGACCCGGTCGCTAGATTTTAGCCAAACAAGTCGAGCACGAGGGAAGCATGAAAGATGTTTGCGTAACTGGCGATTCAAGAATAAAACAAAGAAATCAATATTTTTTCATGCTGTGTCTTTCAAACCCCTGTCGTCTGAAAGCAAAATAACAAAACATCCCCCAGAGACACATTTCTGGTTCTGTAATCCCGTAAAGGATCCACTAACTAACATTCTTTTTCCCTCCTCAAAGTTTTTATTCCAACAGCCCCTTATTCCCCTTTTTCCCCTTTTCCGTTTAAATTTTTCTTTGTATACTTTCCCGTTTTGGGGCTTTGGCTTACGGTTTTTTTTTCTTTTGTTAAGTCGCTGATAAGGTTTAGTCGAAACTTTATTTTTTTTCTGTGCCATTTTTTTTCGTTCCATCCCGTTAGCTTTTTAGTCCTGTTTGTGTTTAAAGGAAAAAAGCCTTAGTATCAGGAATTTAACCTAGTATGTTAAAGGGAATTAAACCTTTGTTTGGTTAGTGAATTAAGTCTTAGTTTTGTTAAATAATTAATCTTAGTGTTAAGAATTTGCTTTGGGTTTGTTTTGTTAGTGTTAAGTAATTAAATCCTAGTTAGTATTAAGTGAATTAAGTCCTAGTTGGTGTTAAGTGAATTAAGTCCTAGTTGGTGTTAAGTGAATTAAGTCCTAGTTAGTGTTAAGTGAATTAAGTCCTAGTTAGTGTTAAGTAAATTAAGTCCTAGTTAGTGTTAAGTAAATTAAGTCCTAGTTAGTATTCAGTGAATTAAATCCTAGTTAGTGTTCAGTGAATTAAGTCCTAGTTATTGTTCAGTGAATTAAGTACTAGTTAGTGTTAAGTAAATTAAGTCCTAGTTAGTATTCAGTGAATTAAGTCCTAGTTAGTGTTAAGTAAATTAATTTCTTCATGTTATTTGTCTATTGTCTTCTTTTTAGCATCTGCCAGCTGTAAATTATGGTAGAAGGTTCTGGTTTTCCATCTACTTGTGCACTTTGATTGTGTCCCAGAACTTGAGTTTTATGTTTAACAAATATGGCTTATTTGTATGCATTGTCGGTTCCTCGCCTCTCAGGCAGATGCACTCTGACATTGAAGGAAAAATCCCTAATTAGTCGCCTTTTATGGCATCTTTTTTAACACTTCCCCCCTTCCCCCCCCCCCCCCCCCCTGCCCAAATAGGGCCTGCAGCCCACATGGGGAACTTGCCAAGTTTAAAACATAGGTTTCTGTATGTAAACTGTGTTCTTTTCAGTGTAAGCTGCACTTGTCTTATTCTTGTTTAGATATCTTTGAATATCCTGTTAATGGTTATATCTACAATATTACACTTGGCCATCAAGTGTCAGTGGCTAAATTACTGAGCTTACCTTCGGTCTCTGACAATCTCTCGAGCACAATTCTCTTTATGGTAATCTGTGAACTGCTGACACGTCTGCTTTGTATCAGAATCTAGGTCAGAGAGTTTTGGAAGCCGGACCATGTCGTTTCCAAATAAATAACGTCGCAGTCTGGGGATGGAAGAGAAATCAGTTTGAATGTGGCCAAATGTATTACATCATATTATCATATAAACTGCAAGTTTGTGAGTTTCATTACATTTCCTGCCCCTCCCCCCTTTTTTTCTTCAGATAAATCTATTTTAGGCTGGGGTAAGAGAGGTTAAATAAATAGATAAAACGATACATACTTATATAATTATTAATTATGTAATTATAGTTCAGAAAGGAATAACAATTTTAGGTTTAGAAAATTATTTTTAACTAATTTCTATTTCACTCAATAGTAGCTGTTATTAGCAGAAATCTGCATGGAAGTGGAATCAATTGTATACATACAATAAAATCTTACACTGAAGCCAGATCATTTTACCTTTGATCCTATCTACAAGTACAAGTTTTTCAAAACCTGAACATTATGCAAGAAGAAATAAAGATTGATTAATCATCATCAAGTTGCAGACTGGTGTTAAGTCATCTGAACATGTTTCTCTACAGTCCACTATTCTTAAAAAAGTGCTCTAACCACTAGCTACTTCAACCCAATTCTGAGTCTGAAAGGAGACTAAAATGTTTTTATAGCAAGTTAAAAGAACAAACTTGACTTAACTCAGAGTGTCTACGAAATTTTCTTCTCCTCCTTCAGTCTTGGTTTTTGAGGTTTTGTACCACAGATCAACATCATGGCACACAGGTAGTAACCCATAAGTGCTCAGTTCTACTTGTAACTCAAGTCTTGAGTCCAAAGAAGCTCAGCACAGTGCACAGGCTCTGTAGCACCGGCGAGGATCCCAAAATACTTTGGGTAGATTTTTAACTCCAAATTTTGCCCGGGTAGTGCCGTTAGATTACTCTTTTTTATTTCCAACTCTTAAGGGATTTTTTTACAAGGTAAAAATGCGCATGGGCATCCAATCTCACCACCCTGAGACCCGTGGAAATCACTAGAAGACCTGGTCCATGTAAACAAATCTCAGCCCTTACCTTAAAAAAAAAAAATATATATATATATATATATATATATATATATATATATATATATATATATATATATATATATATATATATATATATATATATATATATATATATATGTGTGTGTGTGTTTTTATTTTTAACATGATCTGATAACAGCTGTAAACTGTAGAAAAGACTATTTATTTTGGGAAGGTAAATTTTGTTCTTCTGTATTTGCCATTAAAACAGTGTTTGGCAGGTTGTATTGTGGTTTACAGCTAGGCTCCAATATCTTTTGGCCCAACACATGCAATCTTAATTAGTCGCCTTTGACTACATGTTTGTTAAGGTGGCAGTGGATCAATAATTGCCCCCCCCCCCCCCCCCCCCCCCACCCCCACCTCCAGGGTCTAGAACCCATACACAAGGAGATCAAATGTTTTGAAATATTACACTAAATTGTAAATTTAAAGCTTTGTCAAAAAAATATTTTGTATCTCTGCTGATTCTGTATTAATACAGGTTTCAAAATATTCATCTAGAAACATAATTTGTAAAAATTGCAATATCAATAATATGAAATTCTTTATAAGATACCAAATCAAAGATTAACAAATGGATAATGGGCACTGAAATTTACTTAAGCATAATAATGTACTCTAGGACTAATGAAGGTTATATTTGGATTTTAAAATGCATGAAAAATAAAACTAAACTCAAAACAGTAAACTGTATCAATAAATTACAAGTAAAAATAAAATACCATTTTCATGGTGGACTGGACATATGGTGCTAAACCCTTATTTGTATAGAGCAACTGACACACAGTGTGTGATGATGTCAGCATCATGCCAGCCATCTTTTACTTCACATGTCATTTCCTGGCACACAGTTCAGGTTGGGTCAAACACAAAACTCGGGTGAACTATACACAATTTGTGGATTCAAGCAAATATATTACCAGCATTAAACTTTGAAAATAATGAAGTGAACACAAAGGCAACAAATAATAATTAACTGAAACAGCTACAGTAGTACAAATATGTCAAAGACCTTACTCTGCACTATCCAGGTTGGGAATGGCCTGCTCAAACAATACAATATGTGAAAAGTTTGACTTCACATGATTATATTCTAGGATTTATCCACATATCATATATGACAAACTGAACTTCACACAAATACACAACAGACAGGATTCACTATGCAATAACCATTTTAGCATAATCCAATATGTGACAGCACCAGATATTTAACATGTAAGAGATTGAACTTTTTTTTTTTTATATATCATATGATATAAGATTTTACAGTCATAATGTATGTTTACATGTACACATAAACACACTTATGTCAGAGCTTCAGCTGGTCAGACATGAATTTTTCTTGAAGATACCTCAATTAAGTGATTCTGGGTATTCTTGTTTGTAATGGTAACACTGTCTATTCATGTAATGTGCTGACGAAGGTTTTCTAGCCATAACGTTCACTTGTCATTTTTATGCTGTGATAATATGAAGCTGACTAGTTCTACTTTTCGTCTGGTTTGGTTATCTTTTCATATGTACATAACTTCACACCAATCAATGTTTGGCTAGAAAATAACTTTACAGTATATAATGTGTAACAAGCAACAACTTAACAACTAAACACTATCCATTCTGATATATGACTTCATACTGTCTATTTACGATAAGTCACATAACACTACCCAACATAAGATTTACCAACTTATCACTATCCAATAACACCATGCAGTGTGTGACATCTTCTAATGTATAACATGTAACTTATGTAACTAAACACTATCCAATGTATGACATGTCACATAACATCTTCAAATGTATAAATGTTACTCAACACTATCATTTTATAACATGCAATGTAAAACAGTAAGTGGATTAAATTAAGGCTAGAGGAAAAACAAATATTTCAATGTTGTCTTTAGAAGATAAATGAAAGGTATTTTGGGTTTTAAAATAGTGTAAAAAAATGGTAAAATATTAGGTACTTTTGGTAACATTCAGTAAAAGAAAGAAAATAGGAGGGGTGGGGGGTTTGGGGAGGGGGGGGGGGTATGTAAAATGTTAGGGATTTTTTTTTTTTTTTTTTTTTTTTTTTTTTTGTTTTTTTTTTTTTTTTTTTCTTTTTCTTTTAACTGGTGTTTAAAAAAAAAAAAATATCCTGACGAACCATGGTGGTGTAGCGACTAGATGTTTGCCTGTGGATTGGAAGGTCATGGGCTCAGGTCCTGGCAGAGCCAGATGTTTTTTTTTTTATGAACAGGGCTGCCAGTTTGACCCAGCCTTGAGTGGGTACAGGGTAAAAATCCTGGGAAGTAAAGGTGGCCTCGCGATGCTGACCATGTCATCCACCAAGTTCTGACTGGTAAAAAAATATAGGGTCTAGCCTTATGTGCCCATTACGCCTGAAGGTGTAGAAAAGAGTCCTTTACTTTTTTTTTTGTAAACATCTTGACAGAACATCCAAAGTTCTACATTTTATGTCAATTTAAATTAACAAACACAATAAAAGTCATCAGTGAGCTCTCAAAATGGACATCAGATGTATGATAGACAGATTCAACAATTCTGACTCATTTCTGCAACTTTTCAATTTCCCAAGAAGCACAGGCCCACAACCAACTCACAACAGGACTTTCAGTGGGCAAGTTAATTAGTGACTGGATTTTGCAGCTGATGACCTACAGGATCTTCTTTATACTTACTCCCTGTGAAGTTCTGGTTGTTCATCCACTTTTGAACTTTAATCCTGTTCCAGAAATGGAGCCCTGTGTGCACATCTGTTATAAAGATCTAGTGAATGGTATGAGGACTTCTGGTTCCTTGCCTCACAGGCAGATGTGCTCCAACTTCAAATAAAACAGTGATTATATCTAAACTGGCCAGGTTGGGAACCTTTTTCTGGGATGAGCAGGTGTAGACAGGCCTTGACCAGTTTGTGTCTTGGATCTGGTGCACCACCATGTGTTGTTGGTTCAGTACCCCTGCATCCCATCCTACATGACGATGAAGTAGCCAGTAGTATGCCAATCTTCCTTAATAACTGCTTATGACATGCAAAGTCGGTTATTTCTTCTTATTCTGCATTTACATATAACCTTTTTACCAGGAATGCTTACAGATAAAAAAAATTAGGAATGGCCCTGTGGGAATCCCCTCCACCCCCCCCCCCCCCCACACACACACACACAAATCCTTTAAAAACATTTATACAGCTCAATATTATGTTTTTTTTTTTTTAACTTACTTATCTACATTCATTTTGTTGTTAAAAAGGATTTTTTTTTAAAATATAAAATAGTGACCATTAAACATGAACAGAGAGAAGCACTCAATGGAATATTTTAACTGAGGCCTCAAAATATGTCTCACTGAGGCTTAGGAAAATATTTTATGTCAACTTGGCTTTAAAGAAAAACTATTTGGTTCAAAGGAAAAACTCCAAATGCTATGTTTAGGTAATACATTCATATCCTGACCTCCTAAACATTTGCGCAGGCATGAACACAACCAACACCATTAACTATGCATCTTGTGAACACTTCACTCCGGAAAATTCGGTCATGTGGCTTTCTTGGGAAACTAGACTCAACCGGGGTGTCAGTTTGCAACAGGGTTAAAAGTATTTTCTTTTTTTGTGTGTATGGTAGGTAATAACTGTACTATTCTTCTCGCCCCTTATTGGCCCTGGTAACACACAGAAAAACAGACATATTGAGCATCCAATCTCAAGGTAGATATTACCTCTGAGAAGTTAAGCCTTTACATACACAATCTTCTTGGTATGCTTCAGCGTCCACTCCCATTCAACTCTTTTGTGTATGCAGTTTCTGTCTATCTATGATCTGCCATTGTATGTATATGCCCCAAACACTGCAGTCTATGAGACCTCTGATGGTAAACTACTGTTCTAAAACTACCCAGTGAAACCCCAACAGCTAAAAATGCTGGGTTTCATTTCTGTCTTGGATTTTGCAACTAAATTTTAAATACCAGGGTCATGCATTTTGATGACAGATAAATGCAGTTATT